CTCATGAGAGAGAGACAGGAACAGAGAAAGAGAACGATGAAGGGGAGCAGATGGAGGAAATAACGAAAGAATGAGCTTGACTGAGTGTGTGTGTGTGTGCGTGTGTATGCGCACGTATTTTTCACCTCCATGTAAGGGTCACGAGGGTGTGTAAGGTTGAGGATGGACTGGAATTTTGTTAAATCATGCACATCATTCCCTCATTCACTCTACAGTCATGAATAAATCCCCAAAACCGGAGTGTCCAGAGGGGGGTTAATTGAGTCAGTGGACTTAGTGAGTCAAACCAGAAGCCAACTTAAATTGACAGCACAGATCCACAGGGAATATCACTTAGCACACTACATTAAACATATCTTCTTTTCACGAAAACAAAAATTGTACATGACATTTCGCTTTCCTATGCGTGTAGATAGGATGTTATCAGAATGGGATTTTTGACAAAATCACACCTGGGAAGATAAATGCACTTTTGTTCGCATCACATCCAGTCTTTCTTTCTTCTGTAGGAGGCTGTTATGTTCAAATATGCATAATTCACTAACATCCTCATGTTCTGGGATTGCACCTAACGCGTGAAACACTATTGGACCAGACGCTGCTTGTGTCCTAATGGTCTGATTTCTCTCAGGGCCAGTGAGTCTTATTTTCTCAGACGTCGATGGTCTGATTGGTAGATGGCATCTCATGGTGACGATGATGTTTTTGGCTGGGCTCATAGCAGGCTACATCACCAAAAGGCAGCTTGTGTCAGTTTAATGTTGAACTCCTTAGAAAAAATTCTCTGCCGCCTTGAACACGAGTTCATGAAGTAGTCACTACTAATTCATCAGCGCTCATGCCCTTGCCAAAAGGTTATTCGTGCTTATTTATAATAACATGCTGAGTAAATTGAATGTAATCTAATTTGGGATATGCACTTGTAGTAGTAAGACTTGCACTGGTGACATTCAGTGGGACTCAAGCGATGCCAACCCTCCTACGAATTTTTATGAATGCATCTTTCCTTTAAAGGTGTATAAATATAGCGGGTGAATCAAAGCCTAGTATATCACGTTTCCTGTATGAGCGTGTGAGAGTAATGGGATACAGACAGTGGCTTTGACAGAGGAACGTAAGCCCTTGAGATTCACACATGCACATAGCCATGCAAGCCAGATTGAAAATCCGCCGGCAGGCTTTTGTTATGTCTTCTGGTTTGTTTATATCTTGCAAATTCATTATCTACCTCTTCTTGCTCCAGCATCACTCCCTTTTTATGTCCTACATTGTTCTTTCTACTATTCAGAACTATTCAGCTGGAGTGAAGCAATCTGCCATAAATATGCCCACATTGTATACAGAGCCTATTTTAATACATATGTGGGTTTGTAAGCTGGGAGGGAGGATGTGAGGCAGTTTGAGCCTGTCTAATATATTTTTGCTGCCTGGTGTGTGCTGGCGTCAAATATCTTGTTTCACTCACGCATAGCTGAATAGTTGTCTGCTGTGATTTTGATTTATTATTTCATTCCCCAAAAAATGCTGTATGTGACAGACAGAGAGAGTGATGCACTGGGGGAATTCATGGGGTGGTCGCTCAACTCTAGTGAGTCACTTCAAAGCGGGAATCAGTTGATTTGATGCAACGTTTCACTTGGTTGACAGTTTTGTGAGAGTATACAGTATGATCAGATAATTATAGAGCACAATGGTGTCAGGGAACCTAAAGGGCGCAAGTCAGCTGTCCCTGAAGGCCTGCAACCAATCCGCATTCAGGTTAAGCTCTATCCAACTCACACACGTTGATAATAATAGCTCCCATAGATGTCAGTGGCCACGACTCTATTCTGGTATCCAGGAGTGTGAATATTGTTGTTGGTTGGCTGTTATGCACTAAAACAATAATCATTTTGAGTGCTGTGAGTTTGATGAGCATCAGGTCGGCCAAATAGGTTAATCAAACAGTGAGAGGTTACGGTTTGTCCAGTGTTTTAATAATGGATGCCAACAAAATAAAGACAATCATCTGGCCACTTCACAGCAATCCTCTCAGGGGTGTCTTAGCACTTACCTCATCCTCTTGACGATAAGGGGGAAAGAGGGTTCAGCCAGAAAGAGCTATAAGGCTGTAGCATGCCCCATCCAGCCAGTACACATGATAACACTGAGCCACATGATGTCAGCGAGGAATCAAACCTCTGCACAATGACAAATGCACACAGCGAGTAATATGAGCGTCACAAATACAATCTGACAGATTTGCCCACTGAGCTGACTCGAGGATGAAGAACAAATGCTTTTATTTTTATCTCAGCAGGCTTGAGAGAGGACCCGTGCTGTTTTAGTAACTTGGAAATCAACTGTCTCTGAATACCTCTGCCATGTCTGAGGAAAAATGTCAAAAAAAGGCCTAAAAGTTCCCAAGTTATGAAGGAAGAAAAACATTTAGGCTTCATGTATTTTTTGGAATGTTTAATAATTTTGAATGTTATTTTTTTTTACCACAGTTCAGGCGAGTGAATTGAAATTAGACTGGTTGCTAAACAACATACTGTAGCTGTGTTGTCCCTGGGGGGCGGGGATTATAACAAGCTTTTAACGTAGAGGATTGATGGCCAACATGTGTTTTAAATCCACTCGCATCATATCTGCCAATCAACGCTGTTGTTTCAGCTGTTGTCTGAATGAGTGAGAGCCTCGGAACTTCACATTTCAACTTCAGGAGGTAGTTTATGTTATATATATAAATAAACCCTGGAATCGCCCTAATGTCTGATAAAAAAAAATTGTTAAAATGAGGCACATTATATATTTAATCCTTTATAGATTATTTACAGAAAACATAAATGTTTAAATTCTAACCCATTGTGTAATGGTACATGAAAAACAGGCTAAATGTTGGTAATGACAGGCAGTATATAATCATAATTTCAGTTTATTTTGTTGTAGTTTCGATCAGCGTGGTGCTACTTACTACATGTAGTGCTAATTATTTGATAAAGAGTTTTATCTCTAAAAGGCTGGGTAAACTGTAGACTTTAAATGGCAGCAAACACTGGGTTTATTTAGGCAAAATCTCTACTTCATCACAAATCTCGACTCCTAAGATGTGTAGCTCGCACACACAATAGACCATTTATTGCACGTCTTCTCAAAACTTATGACAAGCTAATGTTTCTTTTGCGAAACGCCTATTCGATTGCATTGTGACTCCACTTTATGTTCTTGTTATCTATCTTCTTATCTGACACAACATTACAGTTTGATTTATTGTTTTATTCTCCCCCACCCAGAACAGCTGCACTGTAACAATATCAGACGTCATTTTCTATGATTCATTTCTTCTGAGGAGATCCAGTGTCACACTACCATCGACTTAGACCTCAGGAGGACAGGAACTTGTTTGAATGTAATCTGATGCTAAAATTACCCATGTTCTGGTTTTTATGTACTTAAACTCAGTGTTCGACTGTCTGTTCCCAGGGGCAAAGAAGCTTTAAAACAAGTACTGCCTTATTTGAGGGTTTATTGGGATGGAGCTGCCAAATAAATCATTATTATTAGCAAGACTAGGCAGAGTCCTGCATGGGTCCAGTTTTGAAAAACCTGCACCTGTAGACCTCAGCATCAGAAACACGACCTGTTCTCCACAATAATCTCCAAGTCAAAACCGAACCAACCCGACCCATCCCGTTAATATAAATCCTGCGTCCAACCCGTGATTAAACACATGATACGCACAGTCATATGTTTACTTGCACAATTAGAAGTGTATCATAGAAACATGATTTCAAATCATAATTAACCGAGTCTATTTGGCTGAATCAATCGGCAACTATGTTGCTACACATTCTGCTGTTGCTGTGTCCACACGACCAACTGGGCACCGATGTCACCAGCACAGTTTCAACCGTTCTGAAGTCCTGGCACAGAAAACCTTACCGCTAACTGAGTTTTAGCGTCCTTGTCTTCTTGTTTTGGCAGTTTGAGAGTTGTTCTAAAAGTACATTGTCAACTGGCGCAGCACCTTTGCTCTTGCTGCAGCTGTATTTCCTCAGAGAGGATTTGCGAGATTGCGGTTTTCACAATAATAATAAACAAAATTGATTAGGCCTGATTATATGTACCTGATTTAGATGTTAAAAATATTTCTTGCAGGTTACCTGGCAACCGGGTGCAAGACATTAGCGTTGTAATATTTGCTAATTAGCACTAAACACATTCCAGCTGGGACAGATGATTGTTAGTTTTACAGGTATTAAGGGTCCAGTGTGTAACATTTAGGAAGATATGCTGGCAGAAATTAAATATAATCTTCATATGCATGTTTTCATTAGTGTTTTGTGTTTTCGTTACCTTAGAATCAGTCGTTTTTATCTAGGCAGCGGGTTCTCTTCTACTGAGTCTTCCATATTGAATGTTGGTGGCAGATGAAAACTCAAACCAATTATTGCAATTCATCCTGAGGGGGAAATTAATGTATATTGAATCATGTTAATCCATCCAAAATTTATTTCACTTAAAACCATGAATGTGAGCTTCACGGTGTCTCTAAAGTCAGTGAATCATCAAAATCAGTGGGATTCATCCTCTGGGAATCATGGATATTTATACCAGATTCAATCAACAACCATCCAATGCTTGTTGAGATATTTCAGTTTTGGACCAAAGTAGTGAGCCACGCTACTAGCATGGCTAAAAATGTTGTTAATTTTAACAGTTACAGTGAGAAAAAGGGGGTTGCAGCACTGAGAGAGCTGTAACACAAAAGCAATTGCCTGGATCCACATCAGTGCAGTGGAGAGTCCATGGTAAAAGCCTTATCAAAATGAGCCACAAAGGGCACAGTGAAGCTGCTCTTTTATGACGTTAAGTCACAGTTGTACCTCCGGTGACCCAGTTTATTTTAAGGAATTTAACCCGGAGCCAGAAAGTGAATAAAAAGTGCTGTATGCTTTAATTATAAACCAGTTTGGGTCATGTTTTTTCTGTTATCTAAACCTCTTATGTGTCTCCAGGCAACATCTTCGTGGTGAGTTTGTCTGTAGCAGACCTGGTGGTGGCTTTGTACCCCTACCCTCTGGTCCTGACAGCCATCTTCCACAATGACTGGACCATGGGTGACCTGCACTGCCAAGCAAGCGGCTTCATCATGGGCCTAAGCGTCATCGGCTCCATCTTCAATATCACAGCCATTGCCATCAACCGCTACTGCTACATCTGCCACAGCCTCCACTACGACCGCCTGTACAGCCTGAGGAACACCTGCTGCTACCTGGGCCTCACCTGGCTGCTCACCGCCATCGCCACAGTGCCCAACTTCTTTGTTGGCTCGCTGCAGTACGATCCCCGCATCTACTCCTGCACCTTCGCCCAGACGGTCAGCTCATACTACACTATCTCAGTGGTGGTTATTCACTTTCTTATCCCGCTGCTGGTGGTGTCCTACTGTTACATGAGGATATGGGTGCTGGTGATTCAAGTGAAACATCGGGTTAAACCGGAGCAAAGGACCAAACTGAAACCTAGTGATGTGAGGAACTTCCTGACTATGTTTATGGTGTTTGTGTTGTTTGCAGTATGCTGGGCTCCATTGAACCTTATAGGGCTGGCTGTAGCTATAAACCCTGTGAAAGTTGCGCCCAACATACCTGAGTGGCTATTTGTCACAAGCTACTTTATGGCGTACTTCAACAGCTGCCTCAACGCTATCATATATGGACTATTAAACCAAAACTTCCGCAAAGAATACAAGACAATTCTTCTTGCTCTTTGCATCCCACGTTTGCTCCTCATGGAGACCTCCAGGTGTGCCACAGAGGGACTGAAGAGTAAGCCTTCACCAGCTGTAACGAACAATAACGTAGCAGAGATAAATGTATAAACAAATGTTTTTAAGGGGAAACTTAGATTAAGTTTCTCTTGAGCCTCTATTGTGGATGTGTGACATGATTCACAACGTGCCTTTTTACAAGTTGTGGTTTCCAGTTGTAAAGATGTAATCGTGTAATCTGCTGCTGTCCTATTCCTTTTAGCCATGTCAGACACTGTTCCTTCATGTTGGAAGGAAAACAATCAGTTGTATCATCGGAACATTGTATCATCGGAACAGTTTCCTGGCACTCTACTTAAAGACAGACAAACTGGTTAAAAAGTTAGGGGGGAAAAATCCATATAACTCGTCAGCCTTCACCAAAAAGCATTTTGACCATGGAGGGTAGTCAGCAGCATTGACAATTACTTACAGTGAGTCACTACGTACTGTATAGCCTATTATCTTGACGGGATACTTCACTTTCCAAGCCACATCCCGGGCATGTGTACATATGCACAAAAATGACTCACTGTCTTTTGGCACAGATCAATTATAAATATGTGAACAATATAGCGAAAATAAAATAAATGTATTTTCTATTCCCATCATGTCTCTACGCTCTTCAATTCAAAAATAATGATGTAAAAGTCTAAAGATTTGTTTGTTTTCCCTCTGTGCAATTAACTGAAGGCTTTTTATTCAATGCTTGGTTCAATTATCAAGGATTTAACACTATTATTTGGATTTTAGTGACTGAGAATATTAAAACTTGGGCAGCTGCCAATCTGGAAAGACTTTAGCTTTTTTTTTTTAAAGCTATGCTGCATCCCATATTTCATCCTCAGTGTGACGAGTAGCTCATTCTCCTTCTCACTGGGAATGTAGGCTGTATTAATTCACCATGATGCCGACTCACCCTCAGGCTTGTCTTCTGAGCAACGATGCCCTCACAAAACACACTGGGCAGATTGTGGAAGCTTTTGCTCCAATTTTAATTCAAGAGAAAAAAACGCAAATATCAGAGCGGAACATTAACGTGTCAGTGTAAAAGGGCGTGCTTTGTTGTTTGTAAAATTTAATTCTTTCACTTTTTTTAGTCAATTCTTCCGGTAAACAAACTTGTGTTTACTATTCAACTATCACATGCAGATAATCAGATAAAAAAAAATGGAAAGCTCCACCACACGTCCCCTTTCAGACCTTGAATGATTTAGGAAATGCAGAAATCTTAAAAATGGGGAAGACCGGATTATAAACAAAGCCAGCTTTCTTGTTTATTAAATGCCCGAGGGACATGACACACATCAGGAGCCAGAGATGTAATTCCGTGATAGTGCAAGTGTGCCTGAGCACATGTCACCCGAGCCGAGATGAGCTCTGACAGGCTCCCAGCAAAACTTCCACAGCAAACAAACTATGAGCGGGTCACCTCACAGGGAGGCTCCAAGATGCCAATGTGACACATTGCTGATATGATGCACTGTTACTGGAATATTAAAGGGATTACAAATGTTTAATTTAAAGTATTTATAAATATTCTCAGCATATTTTACACCTACTTATAGATCCATTTTCTGATTTTTGTATTGTTGTTGTGCTGTGTTGGAGCTAGGCTTGGATAGGCTGTCTGATGTCTGAGTGGATGAATAAAGATGCCAAAACAGTAATCTGAATCCATCATGGATCTTGGATGATTACAGGGAGACTCAAGCTGTTTTATGGCTCCAGGTGCCATCAAGTTGCAGAGTAGCAAAATGGCAGCAAACTATTCAATTCTGCTAGCAATCATACAAGACTGTGTATCTGATGTGGAAGAAAGAAGCAGCCCACATGCCAGTGCAAGGTCAGCTACAGATGAGTGGCTAAAGGGGCTCGAGGGAAGATGACAGTGTCGGCTCTACTACCACACCAAAGAGTCACAGACTAATGGTCATCATTCTTCATCTTCCATTCACCTTCCACTCTTCGTTCTGTCCTTTCCCTGCACTTTTCAACCTGTATTTATTTACCCTGTTATCTCCCAAGATATCTCATATATAGTTGGGCATCTTGAGAAATATGTTGTTTTTTGCTTTCTTCCAAAGAGTAAAATGAAACGCTCAATACCGCTCCTATATCGTCAGGTTAAGTATGAAGCTACAGTCAGAAGATGGCTTGTTTAGTTTAGTGTAAAGACTGGAAACAGGGGAAAACAGCCAGCCTGGTTCTGTCAATAGGTTTTTAAAACAATCTGCCTAGTTAACATGTCATATCATGTTTGTGTAATCTGTACAAGAACCGACAAGTTGTGAGAAAATAAAGTCCGAGAAATAACCTGATAGGGACAGCAGGGTAAGATGAACCAGTGAGTAAGTTGATCCACCCCACATTTCCAGGCAACTGTGCACAATTGTTGTCATGTGACCATAAATTCAGGAAGCACCCATCATTTATATATGGCTGTAATAGAGAGAAGCACATTGGAGGAAGTGATTTATTCACACAAAATAACTGAATTTCCTGGACTCATTTTTTTGCATGTCAGGTATAATGACTGTTATGTCAAAGTGAATGTATCCAGGTCTAGAAATGTGTATTATACATATCAGTGATTTGCAAACCATGTAAATCCTTTAGTTAAGGATTAGGCTGAGCTGCAGTTTTTTTTCCAAAAATGGTGGCTATGGGGCAAATTGAGCCAGTGGTTTAACAAATCCAAACATAAGGCCCTGAAGTTAAGTCTCTGAAGCATTAACGTCCAGGTGAAATGGAAATCAGAGAGCTGTTTGCTTCCTCACATTTACGTATTTCCTGTAAAAACAAGCAGCTAGGAAGGGACTTGTCACGGTAGCTAATAGCACTGTGTGTTACGTTCCCCCCGGTCCAGCAGCTATAGCAGTCCTGTTACCTGAGCTGAAGATTGATTGACAGGTAATGTCATTATACTATTGGCTGAATTTGGTCCCATGCTTACGTAAGCATGTGCACATTTTGTTTTACAGGAAGACAAAATGATTTTCATATAAACATACAAAGAATTGAATTTTTGTCAATTGTTTGGCCTATGCTGATAAATAGGGGTACAACATAACTGAAAAGGCAATCTTAAAAGGTTTTCATTTCACCTTTTTTTTTAATGTTCTGTAACGCAACTGGTGAGGAAACTAGCCTGGTTCTGTCAGTAGGACAGAAAAGGAAACACTGTACCAGCTTTTTGTGTGCTGTTTCATGCATTTTATGACTTTTGGACCTGTGGGAAAGGAGGATGTGAGGCGACCTTCAGGGCGTTCGTGGTAACAATAATAAACACGTAGTTAATGTGAAACAGGCGCAGTTTGGTTTGTTTAGGCAACAAAACTACATCATCATTGTTTGTGTTAAAAATAACTATATTAGTTACGTCAGTTTACGTACGTAACTTAAATTATGTTACTGATAAAAGCACAAATTTAATTTTTTGTATATAGTGTTGATTACCTGTAAATTTTCATGCAACTGAAGATATCCACTCTGATATAAACAAATTAACTATATATATAATGCAGGCTTGGTGTAGCATAGAAATTTGATTTAGTAAAATTCTTGATCCTGGATTTGCGAAGTATAGTCTATAGTAGGCAATCTTTGTAAAATAACTGTTGCTATTTTTACACTAAACATATTGATACTGACACAACTCATATTGCTCAGTAGATAAATGTAAAATACAATCCAGAGCCCAGGATGGATAGTTGAAATGACTAGTCCATCCACCCACACAGTTTGTCATTTTGCCTGTGATTTAATATGAAGGGCAACCGCTCGTGGTATGTTCAAGGACAGCATGATCCATCCATCCCGCCCTCTGCTATAAGATCCATCATAACTCATGACTGTATTTAGCTAATTTCGCATATGTGTCTCTGTCTGTCTATGACCTACACTTTCCCTGGTTTCTCTGTAACATCCGCTCTGTTTTATTTTGCTTTGGCTGCTTCTCTGCATCTCAGATAAGCTTTCTACGGCTATAAATTGCTATATACTGCCATAAGAACATGTCAGAATTTGATATCACTAAGTTATATCATATCTATTGTCATATATCAGATACAAGGCAGGCGTCCTTGTCTTATTCATTTTGTAGTTCTGCATTGCTCTTTGTAGCATCCACTTGATTGCACTGAGAATTTATTGTCCAAACTGGATCAAGCACAAAGGGAGCAAGGCGTAAACTTGAATTTGTCAGAGCACACGATACTCTACTCCCTCCACTTGCTTATTTTCTTCTCCTCCTCAGTGGTCAGGCCTCAAAGAAACAAATTCTCATTTGTGGGAGATAAAGATTATTTCCACAATATCAGAACACTGCTAATGTGGTTAACACCAAATGGATGAGGAATAAAGCATTATATTGCCTGATGCTAGCATGACATGATGGTTTTTTCACCCGCTGGATGAAGCTAGACATAACTCTCCTCTTTGCACAGAGGAATTTCTACAGCTTTTTCACATCATTGCATTTTACAGCGGTGGGGTCTCACAGTGGGCCTGCTGCCCCAATAGCAAGTCTCCTAATGGATTTGCGCATTGGGTTCAGCACTGCCTGTGTTCTCATGCATATGATGTGTTCCTACATGTCCCAATGGGCTGTGGGTCACAATACTACCAGGAGGTTTTAGGTGTCGTGGGTCCACAACAAGCCAATGAGAGCAGGAAATGGGGATGATGGTGATTATTTGTGCCACATTTGTTGACTATTTTTAGATACAGCATTCATAGCAGAGGGGGATTATAGATGAATTTGTAAAAGTATAAATAAATCTGCATGACAATATGTTCCCATGATCCTTGTTTGTGGACAGTAACCTCTACTTTGCCATGTCACCAATGTGCAAAATAAATTCAGATCTTATAAGTAAAAATACATCAATACAAATTACTTAATTACAAGTACATTTAAAAATAAGTAAAATCAGTTATAGAGACTTAATGTACCAAAAACTACAGTTGTACTTGATCACCAGAAAGATGGAAGCTGTAAATAATATATTCATTGCATGTATATTGTACTATTTCAATTGTTATTACTGACAACAATGTGTGCAGTAAGTAAAGGCTTTTTTGCTATATAACTGGTTGAGGTGGAGCTAGTTTTAACTACTTTATATACGGTTCATCTGTTTAGTTCAGTGCCTCCCCGCTAAAGGGTTATAAGATTAATCTGGGGGAATGTGAGATTATTAACAGGGCAGGAAAGAAGAAAAAAATCTGAATGTTCTGCTGCACAAATTCTGACTTTTCTCTAATATTTGCTTTAAATATGATTTACCTTTTTGTGCTTCAAATACTTGTTTGAGTGTATTCATCTGAGAGGTGTAGGGGGGGATTTTTTTAATGGTGGAACTGCTCAATTCCTTCGAAAACAGCTGAACACTGCTGGGTCAACTGCTGGGAAAATCACTGGTTTAACATTTACAGGCACAGGTTGACATTTTAGAAACAGAGAGGTACATGAGAAACAGCTATATCCTGGTTCTGCCAAAAGGTAACAAAGTCAACCTACCAGCACATATAAAGCTTGTTTAAACACACTGTATTTTGTTTGTTTAATCTCCACAAAAACCAAAGTGTAAAAATGACTATTGACATTTTATGGAAGGTTGTCTTGGTCGGGACCATTAACTTCCTGGGTCCTGGCACATAACACTCTATAAATGGGAGATTCAATGAACTATTGAGCTTTAGAGGTGTTGGTAGGCAGTGTTTCTTACTTCTGGAGGAGGCCATGCTAGCTGTTTTCCCCCTTTTCCAGGCTTTGTGCTAAGCTAAATTAGCATTTTTGGCATACAGACAAGAGGGTAGTATCTTCTCATAACTCTCAGCAAGAGAGTGAATAAGCGTATTTGTCAAAATGTTAAACTTTTCCTTTAACAGTGCATTGTATTTTATAAGCTTATTATACTTTTTTTAATGTAAAATCTAAATCTGAAAAGCAAATAGTGACTCTAGTTGTTAAATAAATTCAGTGGAATAAATAGTGCAGCATTTGGTGGAGTTAAAGTAGCATTAAATGGAAATAAGTACATTATAGTTGTATATTGTATATTGTGCACTACTTGGATAAATATACTTGGTTACTTTCCACCACACATGGTACAAGCAGAAAATACACACACATAGAACTTGCTGACATGAATGAATGCTAAAAAACAATCCTCTTACCATTAGCGACAACGCTATGAAAAGCAGCTATTTTTAAAGTGTTTTTCATGCACTTTTTCAAGTGGAAACTTCACTGACAGCAATAGTTCTCCGTACACCGCTTTGAATATTTCCTGAAGGGCACAGTGTCGCTTGGTCAAAACAACAGGTGTGGAGTGTGGGGTGCCTCATGTTTGACATGGAGTACTGGTGACACGCGGAATGCAAAAGGCATAGCTAGGGGAGTCCAGACAGAGAGAGCCATGGGAAATACTTCTAGAAGGTCAGAGGTCAATATCCATGAGGACAGAGAATTTAATATTGAACTTGCAGTAGAAGACCTCTTGACCAGATCTACATACTGTTATTCCAGTGAGAACATGACTTCTGTCAAGCTTCAATTTTAGAGGCAGTTGTTTTATTAAAATTCGTAATCCTACCATAACGGGACGAACATGTGCGACCAGTGACTGCACTGGCTCCATCCTCTGTGGTTTATGGTGTATTCCCAGAGCTCACTGCAATACACAGTTTAATTAATTTTTAGTTTTTGCATCTAGTTCCAGAGAAAATAAAATCCCAGTATCGGGAGGATTTAATTTTGATCCGGAATAATTACAGATGACCTGTTTATGCAAAGAGGTCACTGTTTATTTTATAATTATTCCTAGCTCTAATGATTACCATGAGATATTTTTTCTGTATAGTTAGAAAAAAGGGTTGTAGTTACTTGTAGGGTGGTTAGATTTCAAACATACAGCATAACACGCCTCGGCTCCTATACAAAACAGTGATTTTAATCAATATCTTGTTTTAAATACAGTTAAGCGAGGTGCATATATATTGATTATTCATAAAACATTGTAAAATGCACTTGCAATCCCTTAAAATAAACATCTAATTATCATAACAGTATAATAAATTGCCTTCCCTGATCTGATTATATTTTTTTGAGGGTTTAGTATAGTAATACTGAATATATAAACTGAAAAAGGTATCATCTGTACTCAAGATGTCTGCATATGAACAAAAAGACATGTATTTAAGTGTTACAAGTAAGCACACACACGATCTGTGTATAAGTGAAGGAGGATTTGAGGGACACTTTGCTGAAACCTCTCCCCCGTGTTTCCTATCTGTCTCCAAAGTGCAGCATCCCAACAAAACAAAAAAGGCAGAAAATAATTTTAAAAATTGCTCTTGGTGGTTCATCCAGCAACAGATTTGAGAATAATATGATTCACCACGACAATCCTCTGCCTCTACAGAGCCTGTGACGTCTTTTTTTTGGGGGGTAACTGCTCGGGAGTGAAATTGCCACAAAAAGCAAAATGATTATTTTGAACACACATCACTGGATTGTTCTTAGTGGTTCTGGCTGGTCCCTTTTGAGAGTCTTTTCAAATGAAATGTGTTTTGGGGGAACCTGCTGAGCGTGGAACCGGTGAGAACAAAGCCAACTGGAGCAGAAAGTGCCACTCCTTGACACTCAGCGAGGGAGACTTCAACCAGAAACACAGTCAGTGCACGACACTAAATGTATAGTCAGCACGAAACGGAGTCAGTGGCTCTCTGTTACATCTGCAATTAAACAAGAAATAGTCTACAATGTTACATTATTCAGGAATGCAGAGTGCTCAAGCGTATACTGTACAATTGATTTTATGCATGTATAGCCACTTGGGACACTGAGGTTATGTCATGTCATGTTTTTTCCCCAAAGATGGCATTTATTTAACACTGCAAAGAATGATCCTTGAATAATAAGCTTACACGTTTAAATCAATTATATCTTTGCCTCTATTTTTAGAGCCTCGTTATGGGAGTGGAAAGAAAATGTGAAGAGACATTATAAATGGCCAATGTGTTAATAAACAGTTAATAAAAATCAATTTATGATCAGTTTAACTTCAAGGAAAATACCCATACATTATTATTTATTATTTTCTTAAGAGGATTCATAAACTCTCTTTGAAAAGAAAGGGAAATACTTGCATTTCTGAAAACTTCTTCATCAAAGTTTAATTCAATTATTTTGATGCTGATTTGATTATTTTCTGGTATATTCGAGTGCTTCTGCAGTTTGAGAATGAATACCACCTACTGTGAATCATCCGAAGTGGTACTTTCCCAAACAGGACAGGCTTGTGTTTGTGGCTCTTTTAGCTAACAATAGATCATTTACAGGAAAAACAAATGCAGTGATCAATACATAAGCCGTGAAGAGTCTAAAGACCCTGAAGTCCTCCTGAAAACATATATTCTAAATAAATAGTCCAAACAAGAGTATTCAAATTGTGTTTCTCTTATCTCCCATGGCCAAAAGACACACTTTATCATGCTGAGCTCAATTCATTTGTACTGTAGATCACTGTAGGACAAAATACTTGCATTAAATGAATATGTCAAGTGAATGTAGGGTTTATGTGGTGTAAAATAGATAAATAAATAGGTTTCTAAGTTTATACTAAATATTGAAAATCTAAATAAATCTACATAAAGAATATGCAGGACAACAGGTATGGTTAAAACTAGTTATTTAAAGCCACTACACACCGTTGGTTTACCCACAACAGGCTTTATTAGATCTTTTCTCAGATCTGTGTGGGTGTACAAACCCATTTTTTTTAATTTAAAGGTGACATTTGACTTCATTTTCTGTGACAAGAGTTTATTTTGGTATTTGACAACCTCATGTCATTGGCAAAATATTATTAAATGTTGGTTCTTACAAATGTTAAATTAAGTTATATTGAATTAGAACCTTTAAATAAAGTCTGATATGTATTTACTTGAACCTTCACTCATCAAAATGTTCTCTTTTTCTTTGTTTTTTTAATTAATGCAAAAACGATGACTTTACAAAACTCCAGGCATGATAAAGAAAGTGAAAAAGAAAAAAATCAGGTAATATAAAAATATGTTGTTGTATAATTTTTTATAAAATTTATATACAATTTTGAGGCGTCAGTATTTCCATTTTCTGGCACATCCACTAACATTTTCTGAGGCAAATAATTGATTTTTCATGTTACTTTGAGATTTATACTACACAAAACATATGATCGAGCAGCTAAATAAAGAAATAAACTAGCCTACAGGTATAATGCAGTAACAAATGATCAAATCTTGACCAGTCTACAATTTAAAATGATGCTTCATACATTTTGGATAATCAAAATTAATCTAACATTAAAGGTTGCCACAGAATAATATCTTTGAGAAGGAACAATTCTGACCGCACAAATGTGTATGTCTGTACTTTAAATAGGCCTGTATGTAAAAATAATAATAATAATACAATCTCTATTTTACATAAGATTTTAAATACAGGCACTTTTACTTTTAATGGAGTGATTTTAACAATTGTTGTATGGCTCCTTTAATGAAGGAAAACTCTTCATTTTATCACTTGATTATTAAAATAAGGGCAAACCTACATGGCTACACCGTGCAGTGAACTCTAAAAACAAAGAGACACACATCGCTTGTTGAATGCTAATTTGTCCAACCAGTTTCATGGATCCTTTTTTTTTATTTCATTCATAATGCATCCCCAAAGATATTTCGCAGGACATTGAACTATTTGGCCCAAAAAGCAAGCCCTCGCGAGACACAAAGCGGCGTCAAACGCTCCCGTCATGTGAAACGGCTCCCGTGAACCCTGTGCGGAAGTAGTTGAATTTCAGCAGAGAGCAAACACAACACCAACGCTAAGCGCTTATATTCCTCCCCTTCTTAACCCGGCCGTCTTCCTCGCTATCAAGCCCAGCAATGACATCGGATCTGTCAGTAAGCATCTTTAGATCACGCCGCAGCCGGACCGCGCCTCCCTTTAGAGGGTGAACACCCCAACCAGGCCACTAAATGAAGCTGCTAAGCTTTAGATTTTAACTTAGCCTTTATATGTGTTGTGTGTGTGTGGTGTGTGTGTTGTGTGGTGTGTGTGTGTGTGTGTGTGGCCTCAAAACCACCGTCCCCCGTTTGTGTTGTTTTGTAGCTGAACATGTGCCAAAGTAGATAAAAAGCCCACTAAAGACTTGTTGTTTAAAGTAACCCTGTAACACGTTGATAAGCACCGTAGAGTCCCGCTGCTCCTCAACAGGAAGCTCGCTGTCTTGCTGATATGTGGGCTGACTCATGAACTCTTGTACTTTAGCAATGAAAGCTCCCTGGTTTCAGCCCTCAAGACACTGCTGTTCTTCACCATCCTGATGGTCACGCTGCCCATTGGACTGTACTTCGCAACGAAGGCGTACGTCTTTGAGGGTAAGGCTTGTGTTTGGAGCGATGGCAGCCCCTTGAAATGATTGTTGTGGATGGAAGAAAAGCCTGAAGGGGATGCTGGATGCAGTCAGTGATTTACTGTAAATGATCATAAACAATTCCCCATCTCTCTCTTCCCTCAGTTGTTGATAAAGCACCCTTAAAATACTTAATTAATCATAGTATTAAAATGTATTGGCCACCATAGGAGTGAAACTGATATAGGCCAGTAGTAACAGTGAGGAAAAGAGTTTGCATTATTCTTGTTAAGATAGATATAATGTATGGATATGTTAAGGTTGTGTCAGATTTGTATAAGAAGTGACGTATAGCAAGTTTTGAATAGCACTGAATGAAGGTCGTAGGCCTCCTGGTTAAGTTTCACATGAGGAAGGATCTATACGATGGGTCTTGTCATCACCGTGAACTGTTCTCCACCTCCTTTCCCCAGGTTCGATGAAGATGTCGAGCTCTGACAGCTACTTCTACGCAGCCATCGTTGCGGTGCTCGCTGTGCACGTGGTGTTGGCTTTGTTTGTTTATGTGGCGTGGAACGAGGGCACACCTAAAGGGAAGGGCAAAGACGATTAAGGGCGTGTCCTTAACGGCTCGTAGGATGGCAGACACGGGCATGGATCTGCAGCCCCCCCCCACCACCACCACCACCACCACCACCACCTTGGGGCTCCAGCACTAAACACGGCACCATCTACCAACCAGACTGTTAGGGGATCTGGTTTGCGCTTAGGCTTTGACCTGAGGTTGAAGCAAGAAACTACGTTATTATTCCCTGGCACGGGGTAGTGGAGGCTGTTGGGTGTGTGTTTTCGGCAGCCTCAGCAGGCCGCTTTTTGACTTTATGTTCTCTCAAAATTTTACTTTTGTCGACAGAGGACGGCCCCTATTTTTAAGAGGCTTTGTTATAAGCTGCCATTTGGCTAAATGCTAGAAGCCCCTCACAGTAAAGAGGTTGTCATGTGGGAAAATATCTTGGGTTTTGGATGCTGCGAGCGTGTACAAACACGCGCGCACACACACTGTATGTACTTAGGTAATTTGTATGTATGAAGGACTTGATTTCACGTCCATTCTGTGAGTTTGCGCTACTGAATTGATCATTCTGTCCTCAAATTTCAGTTCTCATCTGCATTCATTTAAAAGTGACTCTTAATCTTCTTCAATATAAACCCATAATGTGCTTAACTCTCATGCTGTGTTTTGGATCAAACTCTTTATGATGTCTTGTCCTTAAAATAATCCGAATCATCTGTTTGTCCCCGTAAACAAATGTTTTTTTCTTTTTGTTTTAAAGTGTTTGTGAACTGTAGTTTGTGATATTTTGGAACTTTACATTAAGAAACTTGCAAGATTAAATTGTATTTAAAGGAATGTTTTGTATTGAAGATGTTTGGTGATTTGAGGATGTAGATGTATGTGAAGTTGGTGTGTTGCAGATGAGAATGGTGACTATCTAAAATAAAGTTGACAATTTCTAACTTATTAGTTGTTTCACATATTTTTAAAGGCTTTTCGGTGTTCTTCTTTCACTAAAACACAATGCAGATTTACATTTTTTTTTTAAGATTGTGGATGCAATTTCTTACTATTGATATTCTCTATACACTGACAGTACTCTAATGATAGACAATTAGATGTCAAAAAGATATTTTTATGTAATGGTTATCAGGGTCTTCATTTTTTATTTATCATACGTAAGCAGTAATAATAATAAATAAAAGTATAATAAGCAGTATACAGTGAAAAGGTGGCTTGAGCCTGTCAAATATAAAAACATCAGTGGTTAAATAAAATGAGTTTTTAAGTCTGAGATGATGCTGTGATGAAATCTAGGATGAACTTTTTTTTTAAATGAGGTCTGTGCGCGTGATACACAAGCTGTATCACACAAGAGGACAGGACTTCCCCTACCATCTGTTGTGTGAGTCACACCAAACCAAAACCTGTGCATTGATATGTCTGCGTGTGTGCAGTACGTGCATGTATTTACTTAGGGATGGGTTTTCTTTTTGAGGAATTTCAGTTTATTTATGCTCAGTAAAAATCTGAGCTTCTATATGTATATGTGAGAACAGCATTTGTGTGTTTCATAAATAGATAGATTCGCTATAGTGATTTGTTTTAGTTTATCCCAGAGGCAAATTCAGTTGTCACAACAGAAAAAATGTAATTGATAACCTATAGCATTTTATTGTGATAAATATTTGATATCATGTGCTCAGAAAAAAAATAAATTGATTACCCCATGTTTTCCCCCAGGCCTGATAGAGATTATAGTGAAAAGAATCAATCGAGTTGCCATAACAACTCAAGCTTTCTCTCAAGTCCGCTGAGGCAACAGTTCATGAGATACCTTGCTGACGTCTGCAGAGTGTTTCAGCTGTCACATGGTGGCAGCAAACAGCCAGCCTGTTCTCACAGACAGCACAATATGGAAGCCAAGGCAAGAACTGACAGATGCCAAGCCATAATGACGTTTTCCGCTTCAGAAACCATGTCAGAAGCTGATTTCTGATTCTCCTCTGCGCTGTGTGTGAGTCTTTTCAGCAGCACTCCAGACCGAACTGCAGTTTGGTGTTAGAGCTGTGCAGTCTGCATCGAGTTTAACAAGGCTGGTGTTGGTGATGAGGTGACAGGCCTGCAAGCAATCAGACTGATTCAGTCAGCAAACATCAGAAGCCTCGTTTTCCTTTTGGCTGATATTTCATAAGCGTACCCTTGCAGCAACACAAAGTTGGTGCAAGGGCAGGCTTTGCTTCTGGCTCTTTGTCATTTATCACACATTAGCAGGTTGGGTGCATAGTGTCAGTGTGATGAAAAACAGGCCAGAGAGCGCAGAACACTTCATTGAGTCAGGGATTAAATAAACACTCCCTGATGATTTTATGCTGTGTGTCCTGCATGTCCTAAAATGCAGTCCACATTCAGGCTCCTTGTTTACATATGTCCTAATGTAATAGATTGGACAGATATATAGGGCTGCATCTGCTTACTATTTTATGTACTCAGTTATTTGCCAGTAAATTCTAACAGAAATGGCATCACAAAATATATTGTGTCTGTGAATTTTCTTTGCCCAGCAGATGGCATGCCGAGCAGATACAACCCTCAGATGAGCAGCATGTCAGTGTTAAAGTGAAAGTAAAGGGAGAGGGCAGTAGAGTACTGTGCTAAAGCTGGTGGAAAAAATAATATAAAGCCACCACAGGGAATAAGCGGAATAAAGTGATGGAATAACTCATCTGGACACATAAAATTATATCCGCCATTAAAAATAACCAAGGCGAGGCTTTATTGTCTTAGTCTGTGCCGCTTTTCCCATGAAACTCTGGTGCTTTTAAGCAGATAATCCAGCACTGAAGGAACAACAGCACTGTGGTATTATTATTTTATCTTATTTATTACTTATTTATCCCAAACATGTAAAGTATATATATTTTTTACAGTAAATAATGGTGTAAGCATACGATACATAATTAATATGCAGGTTTCATGTATGGAAATCTGCAAAAAAAGTTTCTTGACTTTCTTGATTAGGCTTCATATTATACTACATACTATATCTGTAGTAAAGCCACATACAGTATAAAAGTATTGCTGACATTTCCTTGCTTTCATTATGTTTTATTGTGTAGGTGTTTTGCTGCATGTGTACCGTGTATCATGCTTTCTTTTTTTGTTGTTTTCTTTAGATGAAGAATTATACATGTATACGTTTTTAATTTAAAGGGGCCAATAGCCTTCCAGGTAATTGGGAGACCATCGATAACTTCAGAGCACATCTTTGCATTTGTTCAGAGCTTCCCTTTGTGTCCCCCACATTTCTAATGAAAGTCTAACCTGTAAGCTACAGAAGTAGCCAGATATAGAATAACCAAAGGACATTAAAATCCTTGTAGCAATTTAATTTTACATTTCCTACTTTTTATGGACTGTGGGGACTGTAAAACAGGATCCCACCTTCACTTTACATTAAAATGTGTTTAAAAAATGCAAATGTTTCATATAAAGTGACAGCTCTTGGTCCAATAATAAATAATGACTGCAATATTCAGTAAAGAGTATGCATCATATTGTTATGTTTGCTATGTTTTTACCTAATTCCACTGCTAATGGGTGATTTGCTGGCTATGTAAAACAATATTACTTCATTAAGGTTGAAGTTGGGGTACACCATCTTAAAATCTTTGTTCACTTTTAGTTATTAATGTCATAGGTGATTATGCTGCTATTAATTTCCCTTTGCAGAGTTTCAAAATACACCCGATATTGATCTAAGTCATGGCAGTTAAACTACTCTGTGTCATCTAATGTTAACAAATCATAGACTTTTATTGTGTGATTCAGTCAAACCAGAAACCTTGAGATTACAATGTTCTTTCTGATATGTATGCTCGTATTATAACGTTTGAAGCTATATAATTTATTGAAATACACTCTTATCTCCAAAAATGTGCTACACTGTATGTCTTCTATCATGCTCCGACCTTCTGATGCAGCTACAGGTTGAAATGTTGGCCTAAAAGGATTTCATTTCAAAGTGCTGGATATCCATTTATACCCATAAGTCATATCTATTCAGCTGTCAACATTTCAAAAACACATATAACCCCTTTTCTCAAAGATGATCACTTTATTGTATTTTTAAGATGATGTATGTTTTAAATATCTTTTAGTAACCTTCATGTTTTATTTTTATTTGTAAAAGTATATGGGACATTTTTTTAGAATCAGAGACTATTCTAGTTTACTTACTGATTGATGGAGCCATATATTACAATAACACTCCTGGCTGTTTTGTCTGTGTCTGAAACATATTGTTTCTGGCACCACCACACACTAAAGGAGAGGATAGTAGCCCAGACTACACTCAATCATATCCCGACACATCAAGAAAGTACAGTTTTTTCAGGAATTGTATTTTTTTGTTTTTAATATATATATGTGAGTAAAAAGCCTGGCTAGATGTTCTTCCATCGACACATCAAGCATTGACAGAAAATCATGAGCGTACTAGTCCAAAGGTATGAGAGAGCGCTTCTTTGTCATGAACATGCTATGTCATTAATTTCAAGGTTTCCATACCAGGGGTGTCTGTGTGCTGTGCTTTCCTGGCACAGATGAGTGTAAGCTGTGCCTGTGTGGGATATGCAGACGGCAAAGACTTTACAAGGCATGTTTATTCCCGGTTGAGCATGTCAGTTTTTAACAGGTTGGAATATTTGCGTGTAGATACTAATGAGTCAAACTAAACCTGAATCTAATTTAAGAGATTCAGTGTTTCAAATGTGTTTCTGTTGGCTATATGTTGGAGCTACTGTTTAGAGAAACTAAATATCACCAATGTTATCATTTCTCCTCGGTTGATGTTGATTTATTTGTTTCAGGAATATGAAATAACCGTTGCAACATGTGTTGAACCAGTCAAATGTTTCCCCCTTTTTCCTGATAAAGACTTAAGATTATAAAACTTTGCAAATTTAAGACAGATTTATTTCAAGCAGTTGTACAAATATGGTTGTCACCAAGTGCTTTACAGAAAACAAATGTCACAAACACAGATATAAACAAGGATAAACAAAACAATGTGCTTATAATTATGTACTTGCTGGCTGTCGCAATAAAAAAGAGAGAGTATAAATGTGGGAACTCCCGAGACCAGTGCAGTTTCTTTTGAGGCGCGTCCTGGAATTACGTACAGTATTTCCAGTGTCCAATGTCAGGTATTGCACAACTTTTCACTTCAAGTCTAAGCAAGTGAACTATGCTACATGGTGACCTCAAAACACTTAAAGGAAGTTAAATTTAACTATTTGCCCTATCTGATTTCCTCAAATGAGGTCAGGCTGGTGCTCAACAAGTTTCTGCCCTGGATTCTGTTCCCAAGGTTTGGGCAACTTTATACATATTGTTGCATTTTTGGGTTCATTCACATTCATCACACATTGAAAAAAAAAATTAAAAAAAGATATGTTGAATGTATAACCTGAGCAGTCAGTACGTTCTGATGATTTTGTTAAATTCTCAGTGACAATAGTGAATAGTGAAGATTCCTACCATACACAAATCAATTAAAAAAACCAAACCAATACTAATCAACCATGAGTGAAAATATGGCATTGCCAGAAATGGTTTACCATACAGTCTCATGTGAAATCCAATTTCAGTTGTTTCAAAAGAAAAAGAAATTCCCAGCTATGGGACACCTTGAAGAGGTTTAAGTTCCTTACGAATGTGATTTTTCAACCACATTAGTCTTTACACATTACTGTACAACTGCAGCTTCTCTGTGTGCCCTATAAATGTCCCTCCCTTTAGTTGGAATGAGTCGAACCTGTGTCATTTTAAAGAGGGGGGGTCAGTTCAGCATGTATGAATGCCTACAAACAACATCCGATCCCCTCACAGCAATTTAAGACCCCTCAGAGAAACATAAACCTCCTCATATCTTCAGATCGTCTATTCTAGTCTTGTTGTTGCTGTGTTTGGCACTGCGGCCTGGTCTGGCCTGCGTAGGTGACCCAGGGGCTGATCCTGCTCCCTTCTTTCCTTTCAGGTCACATTCCTCTGGCTTGCTGCTGCTCCTTTCAACAGCCAAGTTGTCCTTATTCTGTTTGTACGCCGCCTTGCTGTGGTAGGGGTGGAAGGACGAGTCTGTGCCATCGGACAGAGGGGAGAGGTTGTAGCTGGGGACGGGCGGGTAGGGCGGCTGGACTTGTTGGTGCCCGTGGAAGTAGTCGTCGTAACTCGGCACAAACGGCACAGCCGTCACACTGGGCTCTTTGGGGATGCCCTCAGGGGACATGTGACTTCTTCTGAAGGTGATGCCCTGGCGGCACTTAGTGAAGCCCAGGTGGTAGATCTCTACGAGGTTGAGGAGCAGTGACACGCTGGCCACTCCCAGCATGAAGATGATGAAGATGGTTTTTTCTGTGGGACGGGATATGTAGCAGTTTACCACATTGGGGCAGGGCGGTCTGTCACATGTGTACATGGGCTTCAGCTCAAAGCCGTAGAGGAGGTATTGAGCCACTATGAAGCCCACCTCAAACAGGGTTTTAAAGACCACATTAAAGACATAAGTCCGCAAGAGCTCCCCCTGTAGGCGCACCCGGCCCTTATTGTCCCTCACCAGAGCCTTTTTGTGCTTAGCATCCACAATAAGGGCTTGTTTGTCTGAATGATGTCCCTGTTCTTTCTCTTTATGCTTGTCCTCCATCCGCACTAGATGGAGAATGTGTCCCAGGTAGATCAGCGTAGGTGTGGACACAAAGATGATCTGCAGCACCCAAAAGCGAACGTGGGAGATGGGGAAAGTGATGTCATAGCACACGTTCTCACAACCGGGCTGCTTGGTGTCACAGGTGAAGCCCGACTGCTCGTCGCCCCACACCTTCTCTGTCGCAGCACTCAGGATCAGGATGCGGAAGATGAACAGGACAGTGAGCCACACTTTCCCCACCACAGTGGAGTGCTCCTGGGCTTTTTCTAAAAGCTTTCCCAGAAGGTTCCAGTCCCCCATGGCTGTGTGAGCTCAGACCTGGGACTGGAGGTACAAAAACAATCAAAAACAACAGTTTTTCAATTGGATTTGTGACTCATGTATAGACGTGTCAACAAAGCAAATATATGAAATGAATAAAATAAATTGAATCTAGAGGTTAAAGTAAGCTTCAGTATTCCTGATGACTACAAATTCTCTAAAATGTCTTACCAAGTTCAACAGAGCTCTGACCAAATCAGTCTCTAGGGAGCCAATCTGCTAACCGAGTGTACAACTGGAAGACTCCTTCTGACTGCTTCTGAGCAAGTAGTGGCCTTTTCCACGTGGATGCGGACAGGATTATATTTACTTTAGGAGGGTATATATTTGGCAAGTGTGGACAGGAGGTAGGCAGGTTCCAGTCATGATTCTGTGGCTCCCAGCCTTCACGGCCCGAGTCACAGCAACATGATCTACACAAGGTGAAATCAAACACCGGGGGGATGCGGTGGAAGTGCGAATTAGAAGCAGTTCAGTAATGTCGGTACTGTCAGCTCCTGTAACACATCATGTTATAAATATAGTCTACTTCTGATGGATGTACTTTACTGTAGCGTGACAGCCAATTCAAGGTATGCTACTGTATGGGAGAATGATCTATTTAAACAAATGTATGCTTTCATTATAAACCCTTTTTTAAGGTGGACACCAGCAACTCTCAACACTGTATTTCCACGCAAGACAGTGTGTAAACAAACGACAGCCTTTGGCCACAGGTACACAAAGTAAGTTTATGTCTAAATCTAACTAACGAAAGTACATCAATCCACAAGGTGGACAAATAATCACAGAGAAGTCACATTTACTGGATACTGGATAAACCCACCTTGTCAGCTTATACATCCCCTGTGGTGAAGCCCTGCACGTCTTCGAGGGTCCATGAGGCCGTCCACTTTGCCGACAGGCCTCAGTGCAAAGCTGATCTTCGGCCCCCCAGCAATGCCCTTGAATGGACAGGAAAAGTGGACTTCTGCTAGCCACAACCTCTGTTCCACACCGACAAACCTACTCACTCTGTCTCCTTTTTTTTTTAAAATACAGCTCAGGCAGGAATCAAGATCCAGGCCCCTCCACAGACCCCCACAACACACACACACATAACCTGCTGGACGCACTCTCAACCATGTCCGGCCTACCCTCCCTCAAACCCCCCCTCCCCCATTCGTGGTTAAATTTGGCACAGGGTACACTCTCTAATGTAAACTATTAAAGCCCCTCTACTCGCTTGTTACAGTGAGTGACACAGCAGCTGGCCAATGATGTTGTCTGCTAAGTCTGTCTGGCCACAAGTGCTTCTGGGCTCTAAATATAGCACGAGGGTCTCTCCTATCACGGAGGGCATGATTTGGAGATGAGTAGCCATTTGCATCCTCAAGTTACAAATCACAGTGACAGGAAGGAGAAAAGTCAGTGAAAAGGTTCAGTTTCAACATATCTGTAAAGAGATTAAATTAAAATGGATACATTTTATATGTAACAGTGAACACTGTATATAATTATTAAGGTTACTGTCCCTTGATGGATTTGATTATTTCACCCATTCACCAAAATCACCTTTATGTGTGTTTGCTAAATAACTTAAAATGACATCAAATTATAAGGCAGTTTATTTCTTTATATTACACAATGTACACATATAGTTTCAACCCATATTATATACAGTATTAAGTGGATTGTTTACCCGGATGTAAATTGATATGTGTATGTGATGTACATTTACACATATGTGTCAACATCAGGGTACTGTATGCAATATAATATGAATAACTGTAGAATAGAACAGTTGTATAAACAGATACCAGCGTATGGGTCATTACATTTTCAGGACCAGAGAGGCACTGAATAATATACTCTGCAGAGTAATATTAAAGGTCTGTCAGACAGTGATGGGTCTCTGTTAAAAAGTAGGTCAACCTCAAAATCTTTCTGAAACAAACAACAACAAAAAAGAGATCACCTCAAACAGAAGCTGCAGGGAAGTAAGTAGGCAGTATTCACAATTGAATTCTAACATATACAAATCCAAAGACGTATGTACAGTACTGGGATTTGCAGTGTTCTAAAAGTGACCCAGCAGACAAGTGAAGGAGGAACAAGACCGAATAAATTATTGTAATTTTGCCATTTCATCAGTTGAATATCATGTGGCATCTTCAACAGTTCCTCCAGTATTGTAAGATTTTAAGGTTTATTGAAAAGTCACAGACTCGGAAAAATGTTGGTCTGTTCACCATTCTGACCATTCTGTTCCGATTACATATTTTATTAATAGTGTAAAGTAATGGATATATGTGTGTGGAAAATTGCTTTCAAATTAATGTTATTTTTCAATCATCTGTAGAAAAAACACATCCAATGACACCATATCTGGACAGTATTTTAAAGGTTTCTTTGGTTTACTAGCACCAACTGTTATATTTCCACAACAGTATGCCAAGTTACATAATAGTTACAGCTGTCTGCACAAGGTTTAGCTAAATCAAACAACTAAAACTGTAATAAAAATCTAAGCTTACCATTATTGGCTTAAAGGCCTGTTACTGACATTAAACGGCTTTTACTCACATAAATGACCCTTTCCTTCATTACCTAGCTTTGACTCAGACTGGAATTAAATATGGTACATATTAACAATATTTTTAATGAAAATAAAAAGTTCACTTTCTATCCAGCATTTTATTCTCTACGGTAATATTTGCTTCTATAAAAGGACCATACCTGTGTTTTTGCACATTTTGGCTGATTTACTAGAAATTATTTATGTTACTACTGAGCATATTCCAAGGCTTATAATGTTTTAGTTTTATTGTTTCAGTGCCATCCAGACAGCTGCACGTTTCCTTTAATTTAAGTATGGTATATAAATTGATTTGTTAAGACTTTGTGTACGTTTCTTAAAGAGATAAACCATCCTGTTTGGTGTCGAAGCAACATTTTGTTGAAAGTGAAAAAATCTGCAGGTTGGAAAATGTGTTGGTTGGTATGTGCTGGTGAGAAACTCGCATCCAAGAATTGATCTGTTTTTTCAAATAAAACCGTTAAAATGCCAAATCATAAATATTCATCTTATCTTTTTCAAATCAATGTTGCTTGATGGGCATGATTTTCATACATTGTGAACTGTATGGCAGCTGTTGACGGTTTCTAGCAAGAAAGCAAGGATATTTTTATCTATATACAATCTATGCACATTTCCTACCATACTAAACCATAATGTTTGACAAAAATTAGGGTTTGTTGCTGACAAACATGGCTTCTTTAGCTCAAGAAAACGTGAGCCTTTGCTTCTCATGCTGTATTCAAACAAAACCAAAAATCAAATGAATCTGAACCAACGTCCACAGAAAATGGGCTAAAACATGCAAAAACACCAGTACGGTCCTTTAACCCCCACTACTGGCTCCAAAGAGTTTTAGACGAGTTCCGACAGCAACTAGTGTCAGTAAAACCGATAAAGAAAAAACAGATGACTCAAGAAGCAACTGACTGAATGATAACCAACTGGTCTGCTGACAATAATCCAATATACAGTATATGTGACATTAATGCAGAGCAACATGCTCCATGGACATGCTGATTAGTTTAAAGGGAACAGGAGAGGCAGAGTCTCAGAAAGCAGAACACCTTTCACCCTTCTCAGTTGGGCTCTTTTTGGTCACAGCAAACTTAGACTTGAGAGACTGGTCTGCTATCAGCTGATTGATTTCATTTTGCCTATAAGAAGACAATCTACGACTTATCCAAGCTGCGTTGGACTCTTCGTCAGATCCTCGACAGCACCGTTTGCAGGCCCTGCCTATGAGGTATACCACCTCAGCCAAGTTAAGCAGCACACACACCCCAGACACTGCCAGCATGAACACAGTGAATATGGTCTTTTCTGTCGGTCTGGACACAAAACAGTCTACTGTGTTGGGGCATGGGTATGAGTCACACTTTACCAAACGCACCATCTTAAAGTCAGGATAGATCAAGTAGAAGATGTAGAGAAAAGCCACCTCGAAGACGATTCTGAAGACGATACTGATCATGTAAGTCCACCACAGAGCTCCGGTTATCTGAAACTTCTGGCTCTTGATGTGTTCCAGCTCCTTGGGGCTGCAGCGTCCCGTCCTCTTCAGGATCTTCTTGTCAATGTGGCGGCGGTGGGCCACATGCATGGCCACCAGCAGGGCGGGGGTGGAGACCAAGATGAGCTGGAGCGCCCACAGGCGGATGTGCGAGATGGGGAAGAACTGGTCGTAACAGACGCTGTTGCAGCCGGGCTGCTGGGTGTTGCAGGTGAAGCCGGACTTCTCATCTCCCCAAACACTCTCAGCAGCAACCACCAGGACCAGGATACGGAAGATGAAGATGACGGACAGCCAGACGCGTCCAATGCCAGTAGAGTGCCTGTTTACGCCGCTGATCACGGCATAAAAGGTCCCCCAGTTCATTTTCGACTCCAGGTCTGCAAAAAAATAAAGGTTACATTTTCAGTCAGGGTTACATGGATGTAGGCTAAGCTATATCTCTTGGTTGAGCTCAACTGTTACAATATTATGGTAATAATGTAAAATAATGTTAAGTTTTATCAAAATCCCTCAGGAAAAGTAAAATATCCAAGTTTCTTAAAAAGCCTCAGCACCATTAAGCCCTTCCTATTGAACAAAAGTCACATTTGTAGCAATGAATCAGTTTTAATAGCTTACAGTTATTGCTGTCCACTACTTAATAATTTAGTAAAAGCCTAACTGTTGTAACAGTAGTTTTTAGAGGTTTACCAGGCTCAGCCAGGGGTGCAAGCGGCGTAAGCAGCGCCGGGTCCAAAGATGACCATCTTGAGGTGTGGCTTGAGCATCAAGCTGGATTTGGCAGAATAAGGAACAACAGAAAAGAATTGCCAAGTAGCCCGTTGGCCGTATAAAAGCAGGGGTGATGGCCTACCGCCGTGCGCCGTCACAAGACGCAACAGGACGAAGCCAATTGCGAAACATTCGCCGAGCCACGTGATTGGCTCACCCTGTATTAATACTGTACTCCCAAACTGACCTACAGCCCAGTTGCAGACAGACTGACAGACTGCCAGCACATTTCTCCAAGGAACCAGCAAGACATCCATCTCATTATGAGATTTTTTTTTTATGACTGAGAGACATCTATTGTTTGTAAGAAATGCTAAAGACTTAACCAGATTTGCCTAATAAAAAATATTTATTATTACACTTCTGCTTATTCATTCTTACTCCAATAAAAGGATAATGATAATTTAAACAACATGGCAAGTATTTGTCAAGTCGAGGCAATGGGGCATGTCAGCCATCAGTCACATAAAATCTGACCTCACTGCACACTGAATGTTAGTATAAAACAGAATTAAATGATAGAACATGTATTTTACCTTCAGTTGTGGTGGTACACAAAAATGTGTACAAAGCGGGAAGAAATGAATTAAAATATTGTGTTTTTTAGCAAGCCAAAAGGCTGGATTGAGAACACCATGCACTTGGAAAATGCTAATCATTCCTCCGCCACTAGCCACTGCCCTGCACCGTAGCAGTCATATGCTCTTATATAAACTATTTACATACAATGGCAGCCTTTATTGGGCTGCAACAAGACTCTTTAGAATTCAGATCAAACGCCTCGATTTCCGCCTACCCCGGGCAAAAGAAGGAATCTGTGTGGACACAAAAGGCCTCAGCCTGCCACATTATTTATTGTGCTTGGTAGGGCAGGGAAGTGAAGGAAGCTTTTGACCTGAGCCACTGTCATCGAGAGCACAGTCGCTAACAGGTTTGCAGATTCATCCAGAAAATACATGAGCTGTTCCACTAATGCAAACACTACTGCAGTGGAAAAAGCCCATGTTTAACTTTATACACAAAATTTAATTAAGACCACTTCTCTCATTTACTCATGCTTATTTTTGTACCAACCTTGTCAAAAATTGAAATGCTGTAATTAGGCAAATGTATTCTAGTTGTGAACATGAAATTAAATGAACAAATTGCTGTTTTGTGCCAGGTGTTCTTTCCATCAATTTTACAGAACTAATTATCTAGGCTAAAACTACTTTTGTATAAATATTTTTTATATTTAAAATCATACTGCACTAAAAATTGTCACTTAGGTTATAGCTTACTTCACAGTTATGTCACTGCCATCTGCTATAAAGCACAAGTATGCTTATGACTGAGGCCTAGTACAGCATGTGAACAATCTATTAAACAATGAGGGATAAAAACACTCTTTTATTTCTTTTATCATTATGAACTGAGATTTCACAGTTTGTTCTGGTCAAACTCCTCCCTATAACAGTAGAAACAATAATTTACAGTAACAGTGAAAACACAATGTGGACATTTGTCATGTACTATCAGATGATCTACAGCAGTTCACTGTGGAATAAGCATTTCTGCGTCACTTACGACAAATGAAGTGGGAGGGTTTGGGTGGCCTGGTAATTCTTTGAATGAACTGAACCTCATTTATATTCCCTCTATAGAAGATACAGTGCAATTCATACATGGAGCATACAATTGTACATACGTTTTATTACAAAAGCAGAGATTTACAGTACGTGCTGTACATTCATAATATATCTGCCATTGTACAAGAACTCAATATTAACCAAGACAACATGGCTCTAATAATGATCATCAAAGGAAAGTCATACATAAAAAAATGAAATAACAAAGTCCTATTGTATGTGGCATATCAGTATCACTTAGGAGGGGATGTAATGGGACTGAACTCAACGCAGTGCTGGAATAAGGACTTGAGACACACTGTGCACATAAATGTGTAAATATAGATTGAAGACATACAAAACTACGCCTTAAGGGGGAAACATGTTCAAAATAAAACAACATGCACCACAATTTGGTGTCCACATCCCCATAAATTATACATGTATATAAAAAAGGCTTTAAAAGTCACAATCTATTAGACTCTAAAAAAAACAAAAATGGAATTTATGCAACAACAAAAAAACTTTAATTCCAATGTGACAGGGAACATTAGCTTTACACTCATATAGATTAGACCTAGTTTTGAACTGCAATGTAAAACATACAAACACAGAAGAAAGCTGATTTACTTAATGTGTACTAATCCAGTCAATGCCTTCAGTTTCATACAAAATTCACATTTACAATTTTTTTAAATATATATAAATATCCTTGTACTGCCAAGTGCCAATCATAGCAGTGTGTCAGTGTGTAGCCTTTACTTTCAGTCCACTGTATGTTCACAGATGGTCAATGATGGACGATTTATTAAGAATCATTAAATCTTCTCAGTGTTTTCACACTGGTTTGGATGTCAGACAATCCAGACAAAAAGGACAACAACAAAACAACACAGTGCATTCTGAATTACCTCTTGCTTTGAGTATAGCACGAGATGAGGTATTTCTCCCACTCAGACTCCTGTTGTCTCATTTTAAGTTGAACAGTGCCTAAAAAGCAAAAAACACAGGATTTTGAATATAAATGAGTGCTGCTCTGGTCATACACAGGCTACACTGCCACCTACTGTAGATGCACAATTTGGGGTAAATACATTTCTAAACTGTAACTCTACTTACTTTTATTCTTGACAGCAACATTCTTCAGTTTGTTATGTTTTGCGTGTCCGTTCTGGGCCAGCCTCAAAGACAGAGATGCACCCCTCCTGAAATGATAATAATAGCATTGTGCAGTCAAGACTTTGGGCAGTTACTAGCCTTGATACACTGCAGCATATTCACATCATAAGGTCTTATCATTCAACAAACTATATTATTTGTACAATGACAGCTAGCTAGCTAAAACAAAAGAACCCTTGTTTAGCAGAAGCAAAATTAGATGTGTCAATAAATCTTAGTGGCTGTGTTTCATACTTAAGTACCTCATAGCTCCAAGCTTTCCCTTTTCCAAGAACAGCTCGACTGTAACTTTAGGCCCCTGTGGGTAAAGTCTGGCATAGAGCGTCCTGTTGTGCACCATTGCTTGGAACCAGTCCACTGCCTCCTCAGACCAATCACTCCCATTCACAGGCGTCACCTAGGGGGGGGAGGAAACAGACAAAAAATACCATGAACTGAGATAATTCATTTCCTTTATCACTGAGTGACAGATAAGGCTGTGACTAATCATGTGGACAAACGCCAATATTGTAACCGAGTCTACACTCAGCACGGTATATTAACCATTTCCACGTATGCAAATCCTGAGAGGGATAATCTGCACGCTTGTCGCTGAAAATCTTAAAATGTTCAGTGAGAGCTTTATGTGTGGTCAAATTACGAAGCCAACATTGTCGGTAGGGAACCACTCACATTTGCCAGTGAGACCTGTACAACCTGAAGTGGGAGGACAGCCATTTCTGGGGTCAGCTCTTTGATGTTCCACAGTGACAGGCAGGCAGTGTCACCGTAGTCCAGCCTCTTCACCTCCACCTTGATGGATGTCTCACTCCCAACACCCTCAGTGGCATTATTATCTGACATCACAAAGACAGAGAGCATGGCAGGTTAAGCTAAAAAAATTCTGTAAGGAATTCCCAAGTGGCTGTAGGCAAGCAAAATGACACTGCTACCATCTAGAGGTATACATTTGCAAAACCATCCCAAAACACAAAGCTGGACCCACCTCCACTTACTCCGCATATCTTCGTCACCTGAGCCCTGCACCATTGTTCGTGCTTAGGGAACCAACCCATTACTTTGGTTCCAATGTCTGGAATGCAGTTCTGCTCAGCATATGAACTACTGGCTTTCCAGCTGCTGCAAATGAGAAAAAAAATAATTACAACCAGAAACGTGGTTTATTAAAAAAGAAAAAAAAAAAAAATCTACAAAGAAAGCAGTATTGAACAAAAAGGATAAGTGGCTCTGCAAGTTCTGTTAATGTGATCAAGGAATCAGCGAGGGGTGATGAAAAGCTGAGAGAAAGCAGACAAGAGATTAGAATCCATGCTGAATGACTTACTCTGTGATCAGGGCCTGCAGCTTCGTGATGTAGTCTGCGTGTTGGATGTAGAAGTTGCCTGGGCTGACAATATGAGACACCACAACTTCGCTCTCTTCAAACCTCCTGATCTGGAACTCAGGAATAGAGATATCACCGATGGATGGCGTTTTTGCACCAGCAGAATTGCTCCCATGTTCAGGTTCTGTGCACTGGAGAGTTTTCCACTGGATGTTTACACAGGAGTTCTCCACCTGAGCTGTTGTGCTCTGGCAGTCTTTTGTTTCCAAGAGACTGGCCTCAGAGTCCCCCTGTCCCACCTCTGTGAAGATGTCTCCAATATCCCACAATTCGGTCTTTGTTGCAATCACACAAGTGTACGTCAGAGAGCCACTTGATTCCACTCGCTTTACTCTGAAGACTGGGGCTTGGTTTTCAATGTCTGCACTCAGGGTTTTTGGAGCGTGTGCATTGATCAGATTATCTGTCACATGTCTGAACTGATAGCTTTCTGTTTTGATGGGAGGTGACATCGACTGTGGCGAACCAGTACTTGAAGTGTACGCACTTTTACTCCACTCCATGACACTGACCTCTAGTGCACCCATGTTTTTAGCTTTTGCTCTGAGGAAGTGAAGCAGCTGAGAGGATGTTTGTTTTTGGTGTTGCACCTGGACATCATCCTCACATCCCCAGCTTATTAGTGGCCTTATTTTCACTGGTTTGGGGTTACACATCTCAGGGAATATAGCCTGTATGGGAGGTAGCAGTATTGGTGGCCTCTCTGCACTCATCGTGGGAGTTTGAATAATGGCAGGTGGAAGAATCGCAGCATCTGGTGGGCGTCTCTCCTCAAAAACAACAGCAAGTTCTTTTTCATCAGCCCTTAGGTAAGAGGATGTGCTTGTAGTCGTTACGGTACTGCTGTAGCTGTCGCATATCACGTCTTCTTGCAGGACCGCTGCAGGCGGGGAGATGAGGAAATGTTTCATTTGCTGAAGGGACAGTGTGGCTCCAAGCACGTGGACAGCTTTGGCAATGGAGCTTGCCATGAGCGAGTTCTGCAACATGGGCCCAAACTTGAGAACATCTGTCATTAGGATCCCTTTTTCTCTGAGGGGCTGAAGTTGGTTTGTTCTCACTCCATTATTGACACAAATTTGTGAGTCTGGAAAGATGAGAAAAGCAGAAAGAGAGGTTGTTTTATTAAATGAAGCTGCACTGAACATCTTTTCCACAGGATACCTGTAGGGATGGGTACTGAAACCCAGTATTAATGGGCTCCGGGGCTAAATTATTAAAAGACTGTAATATTAACAAGGTCAGACATCGTCGGTTCTGCTGTCGACGTTGGAGAAATGAAGATATCTGTCAATAATGCATCATTGTTATCATAGTATTCCCCACCGAGAAGAAGATCTCTCTCTAAGAGCATATTGCATGTGCAAGGGGTGAGGCCAGCTCTTGCCTTTATATCTTTCTCTCTCTCTCTCT